GTTTTCAAGCTCCTCTCCAGCACAACCCCAGCGTTCACACAGGGAGATTCCAGATCGTCTGCCACTACTTCAGACTCAAAATTTACCCTCTTCTGGGACAGGAGCCTCCCACCATAGCACTCCCACCACTATGTCCACAACGAGCCAATCTCTGCCCTCGGTCGTAATCCCAGTAGAACAGCCCACCAGCAAGAAGCCTCAGAAGACTCTAACAATGGACCCAAAAGTTGAAGACATATCGCGTCCTTCATCCCTTGTGAGTTGTGCTTTAGTCTTGACCTTGGAGTTACTCCAATTTCTGGTGCACATATGCAATCTCAGTGGAATGGTTATTCACCTTTGACCAACACCCAGGAATATTTCATCCTGGCATTCTTCAAAGCCCACTGGATCTCAAGGCCAAAATTTTCACAAGACCCTGATCTCCCATCTTGAAGGAACTCTGATTGGACCACAATGCAATACCATTTTCTGGCAAGTCTAAGGAACAAAGAAATGCCAGCCTTGATAGGCCAAAGGGACTGGAAAATCGTACAGCGTTCTTCTATGCCCTCACACTCTAAAGGCGGTTCCTGGAACATCGGTGCAACGAATTAAGAGGTTACCAGACGGACAAATTAAACTAAGTTCAAATCTAGATGGTGTCTGCAGAGCGAGACCTTCAGTCCTATGAAGGCGTCGCTGTACTCTCCACTTGTTGGTTGGCCCACTGTTAGAGCCAGTCTTCTTCTTGCAGCTGCACATGGATGGGAATCCAGACAAGTTGATTTACTCTTGCTTTCTGTCAAAGCCCTCAGCCTGTCGACACCACTGTACATGGAATTGCCTCAGTACTATCGACCCAAAGGCTATGAAGGACCAGGACTGTGTTTTGAAACTTGACAAGTCCAACTATGGGCAGACCAGATTCACCTAAATTATTTATGAGCATCTATGTCGCTGGATGATCCAACTTGCTTCGAAACCTCGGCAGCAGAACCCATGTTTGTTATTCAAAGGAGCATCAACTATCATGGTATTAAATTATTTTATTACCAAATCTGCTCAGTCCGACAATGATCTGATTAAGTCCTATGTTGGGCAGCTCCAGAAACTTGGATATGACCTCACTATGGAGAAAAAGGTGGCAGTACTTTTGAATCCTCCTCGGCATTAATTTTGATAGACAGGGAGACAATGTTAGCTTACTCAAAAGGGGCTCTATCAATAAAGTCACGAATATACTGGTATGTCTTGACGCTAGCAAGAAGCTTTCTCTGCCGCCACCGAGTCCTCTCGGAGCTGACAAACTGGGGGCCCCATTTGAAGAGAGTGGAGCTATTCCAGCTGCAGTTGGGACTGCTTCTTTTTATTGCGTCGAACATCGCCCAGACATCACATTTATGTGCACACCAGGTGGCACGATTCAGTCACAATCCACCGGCATTCACCATGCTCAAGCAATCAAACGTACATTCGGTATCTGATTGGCAACAAGTGAGAAAGGCATTCTTGTTTTAGCCCTTAATTGATCAGGGACTTGACTGTTGGGTCGATGCTGACTTCGCCGGATGTTATGGATTGAGGATGAAACAGGATCCTGTGTCCGTAAGTCTCGCACTGTTTTTTCCTGACTCTGTTTGGTGCCCTATTATCTGGTCCAGTAGCTACAGACTGATATTAACTTGAGCTCACTGCTGCCGAGTATGTTGCCTTCAGCATGTCAATGAGGGAGCTGCTCCTATGCGAGCTTGTCTCAAAGAAAGTGGTACAAACTTGAATATGCAGTAATTACTGACAGTCTCGTGCGCTATACAGTGTTCGATAGACAACCAGGTTGCTCTGCTCTTGTGAATGTTCCCAAAATGTCTGCGCGCAAACAAGTATTTGGCATTGTAAGTTACCACTTCTTGCAGGTCCAATAATCGGGGAGTCGAAGGGCATCGTGGCTAAGTAATATTCCGACTCTGAACAACGGGCCGACATTTTCACAAGGGTCTCCCGGCTCCACAGTTTGCGGTGCCATTCGGAAGCTCCTCATGGTGGTAATTTTCCTCAGCATTTTGCTGGGGACTCTCTTCTATCTGTTCCTTGCTCACACCTTCATCTTCAGCTGTAAGGGAGTGCGAGGGATACAGCTTACAATTCAGCTTTACAGCTTTCTACATATTAGCAGGCCTCTATTCTAGAAAATAATGCGAGAGAGAGCTGGACTGCTCACTTATTTGGAAATACAAACTTTACATCTCTTAGATCCCTAGATTAATCAATGCACAATGGTATTGTCGCAGGTATGTTCGCACAACTCGGGTACTAGGTTTACTGCCAGTTCAAGCTAGCTGCCATGCCAAAACAAATACCACTATGCACAGGTTGCCTCCTTCTTCTTGGGGGTCGCCTCCTCAACGGTGAGTAATCGTGGATGAGCCCTACTCGGGGGCAGCTAATTCCACTCCAGCGCTGCCAGTCGGCGGAACATGAGTCTGTTCAACATAAGGAGGTGTATGAGCTTTGTCTTCCAAGTTGTCATCCAACTTCCGAACCGCTTTTAGACTCCAAGCCTGTGCACCTGCTGAGTTCGCACCCACATGAACCATAGAGCCAAAGTCACAAAAGCCAATTTGTCGCTGATTATTGATCCAGTACCAGCCAAGATGGCGCCATCGAATATCCTGATCCTCGTACTTGTAGCCCTTCGAGTAGAGCCACTGGAAAGCAGCTTCGAGCTTGGATCGGCCAGCTTGATCTTTCAACATCTCACAACGTTCTGAGCGGCTGAATGCCTGAAGATACGGCATGACAAGATATGTTCTGCCGAATACTATGTTCACCGCCATAAAAGAAAACATAGGGTACAGAGCATGCCATATGTCGAACTCTTTCTCGGCATGAGATTTGGTTTCATCTGCGGGTCCTTTGAAGAACTTGATGGCACACGGAGAAGCTGCGCGAGGTTTCATGGCGCCAACGGCATCACATTTGCCATCTTTCTCCTTTTTCTTCTCCTTGCTAACGGTGAAACCATCAGCGTTGTTGGTGGCGAAGCAGCACATTGACTTATCTGTGAACCCCAAGGGAGACCAAACCAAAAAAGACTTCTGATTTCTTCTGGGGGTGCTGTGGAAATCAATCCCCTCCTTCAAGTGGCCAAATGTAATACAAAATAACTGTGTCCCGGAGTCTTGTTCACGGCCAACATTCAGGGCCCGACAGGGAGCTTTAATAGATTTTGCAAAAGGATCGAATCGGTGCCGATTGGTGGATCCCCGCAATGCCAGCAACAACCATGTGTAGATTAAATTGGCAACCATCTTTGTCTCCGAAGGAAACTTGAAAACTTGACTGGTATAGACATCCCTCGACTCTGGATTGACCAGAGATGTAATGGTGCTTCCCTTTTTTCCTTTTGGCGTCTCACCTGGAGCTGAAGTGGAAGTGCTACCCTTATCTTCTTTCTTCCCATTTGCAACTGAAATGGGAGTGGCAGCCAGGTGAGTGGGACGGGGATCCTCTTTTTGTTTGCGCTGTTTTCTTAGTACATTCGGAGGACACAATTCTGTCTTTCTCTGAGAATCGGGAGCGATGACAGGGGCCTCAGGCGATCCTTTGGCTTGCTCAGCAGAACTCCAATCATCGAAAAGGACATTTGGATCTTGTCGTATTTCCCCCAGCTTTCTTTGGATTGCCTTGATGTCCTTCTCAATTTCTTCCATGGGACAATTTGAAACAAGCCGCCATTGGTTCAACGTCGTCAGTAGCATGGGTGGGGATTTCGGGCCATTGAGTGTCATGGAGGCCATTTCATTGCAAACTTGTCCATACACTTCCCCACTTTTCCCCTGATCGTCGCGATCCATCTCCCACTTTCCTTTCTTCACTTCTCCTCCTCCAATCGGGAACAAGTTCTTTCTCAAGAGTAGCGTGAAGTCTGTGATGACGTCAAAAAACTGAGTGGTATTGCTAAGTTTCACAACCTCTCTAAGGCCAGAGTTGAACAGGACAGTCCAAACTAAATTGAAGCAGTTGGTGTGAAAGTCATTCTCATTCAAAAGATCAGTTTCAATGAGTGGCGAATTGTTAAGTTGCTGACAGATCTTCTCATGGACCTTTTCAGGTAATTCCAGTAGCATCGGCAAGAACCCATGATGGGTCTTGTCGGGTTCTGCATGGCCGGTGTTCAAATGTGCGGATGAGGCCGACAGATCATTGAACGGCTTGCAATCCAAGGTTTGACGGTACATCTCTTCGGTGTTCGCGTACTTTCGCTTTTTTGTGGACGTGGACCCTTCCAACGTGCTTGTAGCGGCACCGGCAGGTGGTCCCAACATGGGTGGTGGTGGTGGTGGCATCATTTCATTTCCCTGAAACCGCAGCTGAGAAAAATACATCACAGCCGCAGCTTTGTCTCCGCCCATCGCCAGGACCTGGAGCTGATCCAGTGACATTGTAGCATAATCATTCGGCTTCTTCTTGCTACCAGCCGAAGCAGCTGACATTTCTCTGTCGTCACGAGAGTCCATCATGATGATCGAAGTGTTCTGTTGTGCTTGCTAGATAGTCTAGCTCTACGAAGCGGAATCTGATGAAAAACCATTTTCGCTCAAATAAATCGTCCGTTGCGGCGAAAAGCAAGGTTGCGAGCGAGCAACGTCAACACGACCGAGCAAAGACGTACGACTGTAGTTGTTCCGTACCTGGTAATACGGTGGACGGGGTTGATTTATCTGATGCCACCAACAAAACACATTATTTGACCATGACAGAAGTAGGCGACAACTGGAGCAGCGAAAACTCGTGCCAGAAGGTACGAGATTCGTGTCGAGCATGGATGAAAGCCCCTGAGAACGAAAGATTGGTCCAGATCCACTCTCCGTCTTTGACCAATCTAGCACAAGACATTCTCTCCGAGCATCAAACCTCATCGGCTTCGATCGAGTGGGATGAAGAGGGATGGCATTATCAACCGGATGCTCGGTTACCAGCGCGGATATCACTGGAGCGCCTCGCCCTGTTCATTTTGGCTATGGATGCCATCAATTTCTGTTTCTGGCCAAGCCACGTCAAAGAAGGTGCCACGAACTTTGAATACGAGCACCTGGCCATGGCAATGGCTGGCATGGCTCGGGAAGATGAGGTTGCGCAACTTAAAAATCCGATTTCTCTTTCTTCTGACTATGTATTCTCTCCGGCTAGGCTGGCCAACATGACTTTGGACGAGATGACGAAACTTTGGGATACCCATTTGGCCAAGCTCGCGGCAGATAGTACCAAAAACAGCAACAATAAGCAGATTTCAAAATTGGACAATTTGGAAACAAGATGTCAATTGTGGAAGGAAGTGGGTCAACTGCTCTTGAACCATTGGGAGGGTAGTATTCTCAAGTTTCTAGCCATTCAGGAACCTTCTGGCAATGAGGAAAATGCAACTTTCCAATCTGCACTATCAGCACCTCAGTTGGTAGATCGCATTGTGGACTCCTTTCCTGGCTTTCGAGATTGCCACGCAACAACAACAGTAGGAGCAGCAGATCATGCCTACTTGTGCTTGTACAAACGAGCCCAAATTTGTGTGGGTGATTGGAACGCGTCTTTGCGGTTACAATTGACAAATCTGGATCAAGTAACAACCTTTGCAGATTATAGAGTCCCGCAGTTGTTGCGGCATGCGGGAGTACTGCAGTATGCCTCTTCCTTGGCAGACTCCATTGATCGAGGAGAAGAAATTGAAAAAGACAGTCCCGAAGAACTAACTATCCGAGCTGCAACCGTCGTGGCGGTGGAAGATTTGGTCCAGGAACTCCATAGGCAACAACAGCAAGCAAGCGACAACGAGTCAAAAGTTGAGTTTACAGCTGTTTCCGTGGACTGGTATCTGTGGCAAGCAGGCGAAAAAATGAATAATGAAGGAACGCTGAAGCCACATCACAAGACGCGAACGACTTTTTATTAGCAAAAGGCAGCATATGTTTTGCGGTTCTATGGTTTTGCTCATTCAGGCTCTACATACATAGATTTGTAAGCCTGCTACCGGTACAGTCGAGTTTTGCTACTGCTTCTACCTACTGTACTTGCCATCTTGGGACGACGCTACGCTATCTGTGAAGGCTCGCCAGCGGGCTAACTTGAAATGTGGGAAAACCAACAACAATAAATTGACCGAGCCACCACCAAAAATTACGACGACGTGAAGAACGCACCTTTCTATTATTTATAGAGCATCCTTTTCGTGTCTGTGTACAAGTCACGTCTTTTAATTTCTGTTCAGTTTGTTTGTTTGTAGCCAACATACTTTGTACAACTACGGCATCTACGACGCGGAAGTAGTCCAGCTTTTTACAAAACACCACTTGTTTGTTGTGTGCCAACTCGCTCAGCCGCAAAACGACCACACGGGACCATTTTACTGCCGGCTCCCAGCAAACCAGCTGATTGTTCCACTCGTAGGATTCCATCCGTCCATTGCAGAGTTCCGACTTTAGCACCCGATTTCAGTGAGGCATCTCCAAACAATGGGCCCGCTGGAATGGAATAGGCAGTAGATGTTTGCACGGAAGTTTCGTCCTCTTGACTCCAATAGATCTTTTGAATGCTGCCCTTGGTTTGCACTGTTCGTTGATACCCATTGACATCCAACGATATACGAACATTTTGACCATCATCCGATACTTTCCAGGCACCATTGGTTCCTTGGTTGAGGAACTCCGAATCAGACACGACGTGGCAAACTCCATCCTCTAAAAGAGTCACGAGAATGTCACTGACGGTAGGTTCTTCAGGAACCATTAACCCAACTTTTCTGTCCCGCGTCGAAATTTTGACTTTGGAAGCAAACAGATCATTGCTAGGGTCTCGATCAGGGATCCCCGTCAGGAATAGATCCAGTTTCCATTGCGAATTGGTCAACAGCAACTGGGGGGTCCCTCCAGGCTGTTGTTGAGTGTCACGCCATCGCTTCTGTGTCTCTGTCAGTTCTTGCGGAGGAAAGAGCCGACCAACACTCATAGAGTCGTCCATTTCGTCTCCAGGACCGTCATACTGTCCCTTGGTCTTGTCAGTGTCCAAAGACGCATCATTCTCAAATGCTTTTCCCAACACGTCCTTGAAGAAATTCATATGGAGAGGTCCAGCCACCATCATTTTCTCTCGCGACTGCTGAACCACGCTGTTGAGGGACGCATGTGGCGCAAGGAAACCTTGTACAACAGAAGACGCTGCTGCAAGAAGCAGCAAAATCTTCGATCTTCTATCCATCTTGTCTCTTTTGTGTTTTGCTCTCTTTTGAATGTACTGTCACACAATGGCGCTGTGGTCTGAATAATAAGGTGTGTGCCAAAAAGTACAAGGAGGGAAGGAGGCAGCTGTTTTTTTCGCCGCAGAGCGAAGGCAGTCAGAGTGACGTCATTGATCGATGAGATAGCACCAGCGTACGCTGTAATGTAACATCTAACGCTACTAGCTAGCTAGCTAGTACTGTTAAAAATTTCATCAGCAGCAAGCGAGCATGTCGTGATGGGACCGATATTACCGGTACCAGTACCTCTGCGACCCGCGAAATCAAAATCAGCAGCAGAACCAATACCAGCCAGGAGTTGCTGATGCGATCGCCGGTAGCATCAGCGGAAGCCCCGAGAAAGTCACTGCTGCGGCATTGCTTCATGAAAATGAAAGCAGTTTTGGCGCCCCCAGACAACAAAAAAAAGCCAAGGCAGTACCGCCAGTACGGTACACTGTACATCTATCTGATACAACCAGAGGAAGGAATTCGACTCCATAGCTTGCTGCTTTTAGATTAGAGTGCAGAAAGGTCAATCAGCAGAACTCCACCTGCAATAATGTTACCGTAGAATCATCTACTCTGGCTAGCTAGCAGTCCATCAGGAAGCAAGCAACTGACACATGGGTGCATGATATTGACCAAGCAAGCAATCTTCCGCAAAGGTACTTGCACTTGCCATCAACTGGCGTCAAGTTCCCAAAATTAATGGCAAAGAGAATCGTACACTACTTGGACACTCTTGGACCTTGGCTGCGGGCTACATGGACCCAATTACTCTGGCTAGCTAGTACTCATCAGTATGGCAATCAAGATGCCGCTGGTATTATTGGACCTCTGTCCTCCCACTTCTTTGACTGTCCAAAGGACCTGATTAGTCAATACACGTACTTAGACTCGTCACTCTAGAGTACTGAGTACGTATTTTTCCGTCCCACGAACAAAAAGAAGAGCCCAGAGTCCAAAAGGACAAAGGATCTGCACAATCATCTGTTGGGTCGATAAGCCAATAAATAATGTTCTTTGCCAGTGTCTCTTCTACCAGGTTTTTTGACACGTTTTCTGGTACTCCAGCTGACTTTTTATGAATTTTAAATGCCTTTGACGCCAAAAATGAATTAACTAATTGATGCTTGCAAGAAGGAAACAGAATAAAGAATAAAGATTAGAAGAATAGGCAATATGAAACTTCTTTTACACCGTTGCGATAGCCTATGTTTACGTAAACTTGTACCAGCAGCTCCAAAAAATCTGTGGGAAATCAGGTCCCTGTACCGGTATCTACATGTACTACGTACCGGTACTGGTGGTACATACATGTAGAAACTAAGTAGTACCGGTTCAGTCACCTTTTGCTACCGTCTCAGTGCTTCGCAGTTCACAGCAAGACCTTTCGGAGTTAATCGATTCCGCTGCCATCCCGTGAGAGTGCCTTCCAAGTTCCAAGCAATCAAAGCTTTGGATCTCGCATGGCCTACTCCCATTAGTTCAAAAGGCTCCCTTTGTAGCTTCGTTTCGACAAAGTTTCCGGTTTCCCATCACGACCACAAAGCCCTTGACCTCGGAACGACCGACTGACGCCCCGACCATGAAGGACCAAAGCTCATCAACTCCATCCTCAACAACTCCAGCCTGGAGCATTTGCACCTCAGTAGCGCCTACCGGTATCTTTTCCGGATCGGTGGGACAAAGTGGGAGCCCTCGTTCGCTGAGTGAAATCCTGGAGGAAGCCCTTCGCATTGTTGATCAGGGGTTTGAAGATATCGATCAGGTGCCCAGCTTGCCGACTTCCCACGCGAATGGTCAGCCCAGCGGACGCTCTCAGTAGATATCTACACAAGAACAAGGCGAGTAGCCAAACAGAAAGAAGCGATCCAAGCTTTCTAGCGGGGAGAGGGCTATCAAGGAAAAACGGCCCGAGACGAGCACAAGGAGTGTTGATGGTTTTGGACGCTTTGATCTGCTTTCATGAGCGCTATTGGGGCTCGTCGTACAAGCTCGTGAACAAGTGGCGGCAAATCGCTACCAAGAAGTAGTAGACTACGTACCGGTAGGAAAACCCTTTACATAACTATGCATGACTACACAATGACGCCCACAACCGTGTCGTAACACTGAAGCCAGCTATAGCAACGAAGGAAGACCAGGCACAAGACAAGTTCTTGGGCTTGCAAACGTTGGCAGGGAAGCTAGACACGATTTGTTCAGCTTTGTCCATAACGGTACCGTACCGTATCGTATGGTCAAGCAGTATCTGAAAAAGACAATGTGTTGCGCAAAGTCCAACCGGAGCTGCTAAGAGTGCTTGAACTGCTGCCCTCTGTTCCGCTGAATCCAGACGAACCTCCCCAAGTGCATGTCATTCAAATGCTTTCAGATGAGGCCAGCTGGACACCCAAGCAAATTCGAGACAACAACCAAAGTCAATGAAACTCCTCTGTGAGTGTGACAGGGCTGGCACAGCAATGGAACAAGACTGTCAAGTGGCTAGAGGGGAAGCATCCGAATGTCATTTCGTCTCAAACATGTCGCGGGGCCTATCACAGAGTGTTTGATGCAACAGTCACAAAAAAGTACACTGCTACATGGAGATTACAAGGCTGCAACATGCTCTTCCGCGAAAACAGGGATCCTCTGGGAGAACCTGGAACAGAGGGTGTGGCTGCCCTGGTTGTTCAGTTTGCTGGCCTGGGGGTGGGGGCGAAGACGTGGCATATCTGTTGTTTCCAGATGCGAGAGGGGACTACTTTGACATTGAGAGAGACCTTTCAGAAAGCTACCACGAGTCCGAGTAGCTCATTTGATGTTACAACGTTACAACAAAAGGGTTGTCCGTCTTCGCTCTCCTTTGGGTCGTTTCAGGTACACTACGAACTTGCACGCTTCAAAGTTTGATTCTTTGGGGCACTTGCCAGAGTAGAAAGGGCTTGGTAGCGAGCAAAGACGGGGACAAGACATGAGGACACCTTGGATCGGATCGACGGAGGGCGGGCCATTTCCTCAACCAAAAATCACGAGTACAGGGCTGTTTATGCGAGCTGACGATGACCCTCCAGGCAGTGTTCGAACGTCCCTCTCGTACCGGTACGTAGAATGATTCTACAGCTCTTGCTGGTTTAGTTTATTATAAAATGCAGCCAACAGAGTTGGTGAAAGAATTTTGCCTTGCAGTGAATCTATCTTCCAGGGACAACCCACAGACCCAGATGAAGCGACTTTTCCGGTTGCAGCTGTTCAAGCAGTGGCAAATGGCTGATGCAAAATCCAGAGTGAAAGAAGGTCCGAGAAAGACTCCAAGAACAGCGCCGGAAAGGGGCGACTACATCATCATCGGATGTCGGATGTGAACCAATGCTTCCACTCGCTTCTTCAGTTGCACGAGCTACATGTACTTCCGCTCGCTTCTTCAGTTGCACGAGCTACATGTACTACATGTACCAGTGCGTGCCAGTCAGCCATTGGTTGGGCTCTTCCTTTCGGAAGTACTAGTCTAGTACATGTAACCTGGCGCCAAGTAGACTAGCCAGTAAGATCAGAGGATAGATGCATGTGGCCTGTCAGCGGCAGATGGGTGGCGAGGAAATTTAAAGCAGGAAAGCATCAACCAGCTGGTGTTGCCACATCAACATGACGGCATGACGACGATCAATCGAGAAGAAAGTGGGAGCCGATTACTACTAGCTAGACTACTAGCTAGCTAGGCTAGCTAGGAGAATGGTTGCAGTTCAGAGCTTTCCAGCAGCTATTGGAGAGAAGCTTGGCCCAAAAGTGGAAAATCGAGGGTGGGGGACTGTTATGGAAGGATTGTAAAGTATTTAATTATGCCCCCAAAACTGTCTTCCTGGTAAGTGGATTGATCCCGGCAATGAATACTTGAGGTAGATGCGGTATTAACAGGACTTTTGATTAAAACTAAACACGCGGCTCCTGTACTCGTATAGCTCTCGTATTTACCGCAGCTACCGTTCCAAAGCCTTCTTCCAGTTCCACAGCATACAGCTTGGTACGGTACAGAAGGCTGTACATGTACCATTGAAGCATTGAAGAAGGCCAATGTGGCAGGTTGAGGTTGATGAGTCAGGAACACATGTGGCAAAAACCGAATCGTGGCCATTGCTTACATCTTACACATCCATCCATGAGTCTAGCTGGGCTGAGCTATTTCGACGCTTGGATGCTGGGAGCTGGGAGCTCTGCTTAATGAGAGCTTGCGGCGGCGACGCCATCTCACTCCCCAGTTGCCATTTGCCTCCAATTTCGAAAGACTCGAAAGGATCTGACGTCTGTGGTGTCCACGAAGTTGCAGTTTTATTAACTTCCTTGGTCCCGTTGCTGTTGAGCTGCTGACCACTTACTTTACGATACCAGTTCCATGTAAAACAGGTCTACTCTTGATTGTTTAACAGGACTTTCAAGACTACATGTAGCTGAGGTCATACTGTATCAACTAAGAGCTGTACTGTTTGGTGTACTTCAAGAGCCTTTGCCCGTGAAGCCGAAAGAACACAGAATAGCTCAGAATTATAGCTGAATTATAATGTCAGTCATTCTCTTGAAGGAAGGCTGTTCGCTGGGATTGCCAGAAAACCACCTTTTATTAACAATCTTCGCATTGCTGACCTTCCATGAAGCCTTGATATGAAACTTCTTGTTCTTGGTCCAATCGCTGATCAAGGCTCAGGAATTCAGCTTCCGGTTGAGTACTTATTTTCGTCAGCTTATGTCTAATTCTTGAAGGGATATAAGGTTCGATGCTCCCCACTATTTATAGCGCCTTTCCACCAAGTTTCACAGATCGAAAAGAGGGCCATGCGAATATCGATGTGTTACTGAGCTTCCGTGATTTCCTCTCACTGGCTATCCTGCCCCGTTCCAACTTCCAGAAGCGACCAGCTAATAAGCGACCCAACGACCCAACCTCTCAATCTCTCATAATTTTTTCTTGGTCTGAGTTCATTTGACTTGGTTCCACAGCATACAAGCAATCAACAATATCACGATGTCTCTAGCTTTCCTTATTCAGGCTCAACAAACGGTGGGCAATGCCTCCATCCCTTTCAAAATGGCTGTTCACAAGCGACGACGCCTGTCTCTTCAAGATCAGACTCTTCCTTCCTCTCGCAAACGAACCAGCGAAGAGCCCACTGCCCGCAGCGCCAAGCGCATGAAGAAATCTGTCAGCTTCAACGACGACCAAAACAAGAAAGTCACCATTGATATTCGCACCGACGAAAAGCAAAACGCATGGTACAACCGAAGCGAGTACCGTGTCTTTCGAGAAGATATCCAAACAACCTTGCTCTCTGTTCGGTTGGGTGTGTCCCAGCTCATGGAACCCACTGACTTTTGCCTGCGAGGCCTCGAAGCCAACGTGTCACCTAATGTGGGCATGCTTCGAAAAGTCAAGCGAAAGATCCTCATTTCCAGCGTCTTGCAAGAGCAGCGATCTCAGCGAATTGTTGGGGCAGTCAAGCCAGATGTTATCCGGGATGTCTCTGCTGTCTTGTCGACCGATGCGCTGGTGGACGCAGTCAAGAGGGGACTCTCAGATTGCACAGATGCCCACTTCTCATCATAGCTCTCCTCCTATATCAATCAATCAATGCCATTCTTCCTATTTTCCTCTTCTGAGTAACCCTCTAAATCAATTTTTGCTGACTACAAGAATACTTCTTTCTTTTCTATTAGACACCAGCACCATCTTTGACTTGCAAGCGAATATCGTCAGGAAGCTTCAGTGAGCACTCTTCTCGTATTGTCATGTGCCCCCATCTTGCTGTTAGTTTCCACCCCGTGGATAGGTCGGAAGAACGCCCCACAGGCAGTACGGGGCAGTACATCTGCCAACACAAGAACTTTTGGCTTGCGGCGAGCTTCCAAAGGAATCCAAAGGAATAGGTACCGGTATTGCATGTGCTACATGTGCCGGTACTAGCTAGAGATGAGACTGGCGGGAGCTGCGACAGTGCTACCGGTACATGTAATAGCTACTAGCCCAGGCAAGATATTTTGGTTGATTGGTGGTGTCGGCAAGTTAATCCAGTGTATCGGTAGTTGGCTGTTGTTGCATTAGATTAGAGGTGTGAATCTTTGCTGATGAAAGTACTTGTAGTTTACTCATTTAAATTGTGTCTCCGTGGATCGGGCAAAGTCAAGCCCTTTAGCCCCCATGTTGACCTCAATTTTGTTGCCATTCTCCCCATGGTAATCGTAACGGACTTTGTGGACGGCACATACATGCACAAGCAACAGGAGCGCATCGTTTAATGCAAGGATGCCATGTCGATACGTAAACCGTGGGGATCATTTAGTTGATGCCAGGTACCGTAGCCTACGAAGTTCGTCGTCTTGATGCACAAAGTCAAGCTACCCAGCTTAATTAGTAATACCACAAGAAAGGGTTTTGATCCTACTCCAATCGAATCGAATGGAATCATCTCGTTGACGTAATCTCTGCAATCTTCTTCTCTCGCGCTTCTCTTCGCTCTCATTGTTCTCACAAGTTTGCAAGTCCGAGTCTTTTGCCTCGACAATACTGTAGTGCTGCAACTTCTTTCACTTTCTCCCTCCAAATGTCTCGTCGGCATTCCCTTCTTTCTTCTTCCTTTGGCATCCCTCGTATCATTTCTATTTATTGTTTCCTCCTCATTTTGTAGCAAATTGTTGGCAACTCTCGCCATCAAGAAAGCCAGATAACCAACCAACCAAGCAACCACATCATAGATAGCCTTATCATCCAGAAGAATATATCCCTCGACTTGTCACACTGAATGGTTGATGGGTTGTTGTTGTCTTTAAAGATATCTCCGTTGTTCAAAGAATTTGCGCAAATACATGACTTGCAAAAACGCCATGAAAACGACCAATACGGCTTCTATGAGTGTCCATTTCCATAATCTGGTAAAGATGGCTTCGATCAATTCTCGATGATTGGATTCTCTAGTTCGTAGGAAATCGTAATGATCCAACATGTTTTGCCAATCCTGGTCGATATTGGATGCGCTTTCGACCAATTGCAAGGCTCGTTTGGCTTCGGGTCCTTCTTCTCCTTCGGGCAACGTTCGTGGAGGAGGGATGCATCGCAGGGCGAATCCTACCCCGGTGGCATCGTGCGCCGCTTCATCGTCATCGGGAACTTCGCTTTGAAAACAGAGCTCGTAGCGAGCGGGATCGACGTGCAATCGAAACATGCCTTCGGTTTGTTCGGGTCCAGATTTCCATTTGATTTCTTTGGTTTGTTCGTTCTTCACCGAGACTTTGATCATGGTCCCATCCACATCGTCATCCAGACAATCGTACGATCCACTATATCGTCATGACAATAATAACATGTACGATATACATATAGACAGGTTGAGATGTGGACATTCCTGCATCCAACCAATGTATATATCGATCGATGGATGTAACTTACCTGATGACGGAAGGTGTGAGCACCCGAATACTGAAACATTCTTCTTCACCATTGGGAACTGCTATTGCAAAGGATGCATCCGCTTGTCTGATGAGGAGAAACAGCGACGCCAAGCAGCAGTAGACTGTCAAAGTGCCAATGAAATTATTGGATTTCATCATCTTGTGGTTGAGGGTACAATCAATGATATCTAGCTAGCTAGCTAGTCAGTAGTCTAGCTCCAGTGCGTGAGTCTGAGCCTCTTCTTCTCTTCTGGTTGGCGTATGGGTTGCTTTGTTGCTCGGTTGTTATCGTTAGCTGCGTTTGGACGAGTGGTACTCCAGTAGTTGGGAAGCTCTTGCCGCTGCATGTGTCTGCGTTCGGCTGCTGTTGGCCATGGCCGCACACAAAATTGGATCTTTCCTTTGGCTTCGGCATGCGTCCGTCCTTCTACCGTACCTACAATTTTACATATAATTAATCTGTTTTGATTATTTTGCTTCAAAATTACCACAGAAAATAAAAAATTAAATCTTCAACCCACGACAAACAGTAAATCCCGCTACACTTTTCAACGGAACAACCCTCGAGATCTCGTCATTCGGTCGTTCTGTTCGACAGCACCACAACCACAACAAACCAAGCTGAAGCAAAGCTGTTGCCGTTGTTGTTTATTCTTGTCTACTACCGGTAGTAGTTCATACTAGTAAATTGTCCTTGCCCATGGTCTCTGATCCCCGCGTCACCAGGTCGTTGACCCGCTTGGGAGGTCTCTACCGTGATCCCTCTCGGGTCGATCGAGACGCTTCGACACTGCTCAAGTCCTCTGTGGGAAATCATTTGACTCCCGGCATTGCACCGTTGGTCGAGAACAATGGCGAAGTGGCGCACTGTTTGGTCTTGCAGGGCACCATTGCCATGCATTTTCGCGGTAACACGTACCAGCTCTTGGTCGATCTCTACTTGCCACCCGGCTATCCCCATCGACCTCCCGTTGCATATGTAAGGTTGACCGAGAACATGTACTTGAAAGAAAATCACATGCACGTGGGGAGTGACGGAAAAGTCTACTTGCCCTACCTGCACGAATGGACCATGCGGACACACAATTTGGTCGAATTGGTGGTGGCCATGTCGAGTGTCTTTTCCGCCGATCCACCCGTCTTTACCAGAGCTCCGTCGGCCACACCACCTCCTCCTCCACCGGCAACCATATTGCCACCCGTTGTTGTGAATGATCCACCACCGCCCATGCCGAGTCATCTCCTTTCCAGTTCAAATACAAGTCAACAACAACAACAAGCCGAGGCAGAAGCACGCTTGGCACGAGAAGCCGAAGAAGCCAATCGCGTCATGGAAGCGGCACGAAAGGCGGAACGAGAAGAACAAGAACGAGACCAACAAATGGCGGCACAGAAACGATGGGAGCTACAAAAGAAACAACAAGTCAAGGAGCAAGTATTGCAAAAGGTACTCAAACATTTGCAGGAAGTTTCCATGGAAACCAAAGTACAGGCACAAAATTATCAACGAGATCAGCAACGCTTGAATATTGCCGAAGAAAAACTAGAAAAACAACTACAGCTCTTTCAACAAGCCAAGAATACATTGGAGGAAAAATCAACCATCGTCGAAGAAAAGACGGTCGAAATTCAAGAATGGCTGGAAATGGCCGCACAGGCAGAACAGCAGAATGGAACGGCACAAAAGGAAAAATCAATCGATGAAGTGGTACAACCCGTACTCAAGATTCATCAACAAATGCTCGATTTGAGTGCCGAGAATGCGTCCCTCACAGATGCCCTCTACTTTCTCGATCGATGCCTCTATCTGGGAAATCTCGATTGCGAAACGCATCTCAAACACGTTCGTCAATTGGCCAAACGACAATTCCTAGCAAGGGCGCATTTGATGAAAGTCAATCAACATTTAATCAGGCATCCCGAGTTGGGATCGACGGCGAGTTTTTGAACATCCAATCAAACAAACTAAGAGTGAGACTGCTGTACGGTAGGTGGATGGAGTAAAATTGAATACGTAACTGCGTTGTTAGGGCACTTGAAGATTATTTTACTGGCTGCAATAATTGTACTCGTTCGTAGCAATGTGTTTCTATGAATCCTTCGTTATATTATTGTGGCCATTTACAGTACCAGTAGCCGTCGCCTTTCATTTAGATTGCTAGATAACTCTCTCCTCTGGATAGTAAGCCAGTAGTTGAATCTCAGGCCCCCTTATGGTTGTCCTCCCAACAGGCATCCCTACCGGTAGCTAGTCTTCAATGTGTGATGTACTAGTATTTATTCATCCGCTCAGAGGACCTTTTCCAGGTCTCTCGACGTTGCCGGCCATTATGTTGTGGAGGAAGAGCCGCCTCTTCAAGTCAGCTGGGACGTGGGCATACGTTGGCGAAAGGTCGGCTTCGGATAGAAAAGTCGCATTGCTTGGACAGTTCAGGTCCACAATCTTGCGCTGATAGTACTCATTCAGGGTCGTTTCGGCATTCTGGTCGTCGTAGCCAGCCTCAATGCCGCCCCAAACGACACACCCCGATGTCTGATTCTCCGTGGCATGTTGGTAGGTAAAATCGAGAAAACGGTGGATTCTCTCAGCCGGGGCAAAGAAATACACCGACAAGGAGTGTATCATCAAATCTCCCAGACGTCTGCGATAGATCAAGCCTTCACGGTCCACAATGCGCAAAAAGTCCTGGACAGGAGGACTTCGAAAATGCTCAATATCAGCCACAAAGAGATTGTTGTAGAAACCACACATCTCCAAATCAACTTCCCTGACTGGTCGAAACGAAGCTCTCTTTTGACGGAATCTCTTCTGGATCCTTTGCGTGACCTTCATTTCATATGCACACATTCGATAGCCATACACATAGCTGTTACGTTTCATGAAATCAAACATGTCGTATCGTATTGGCGAATGAAGATACGAGTCTTCGTCGAGTCGGAAGAGATACCGGTATGAGCATCCAGTCTCTTGATTGTACCTTTCAAAGAAATCCCACAGTCCAATCGCATACCAACGCATCATGTGCCGATAGCCTTCGGAGAACAGCGGATAGGCATACCAGTTTTTGTTCGGGTTGTCGTTAAGGTGCCATACCGGACGCTGCCAATACTTGGAACCCGACAAGTCAACAAGCCTCACAATACCATAATACTCTGGACCGAATTGTGATTCAATGTCCAGCAGGTCTGTTCCATTAAAGTCTCCAGTGTGAAAGATAAAGAGGTCTGTGTTCTCTCGATGTCTTCCAAGCGACAGATAGTTCTTGAACATAAGCTTCAAGGATTGCATTAGAATGGAATAACTGTCCCGGCCATAGGTTGAGTGTTGCTTCTGAGCCAAATAGATGATGGCATTTCGCTTGCAAAGCCTGGATGGATCCCTCGTCTGCACAGTGGTGTTGGCAAAGCGACTTTTGATGAGGTTTGACGTTACGGGTCCCCAAGGCACTGTCAAAACGGTCGTCGATTGTTTTGCTTTGAGGTCCACAATCACTTGCCGTGCAAGGCGCTCAAAGCCGTCAGGTGACAATCTATCCGGATCTTCAATGTTGACACTGTTGTTGTGCAGGCCTGGATTTAGGTAAAAGACTGCTTCGGAGGTTGTGCTGGATCCATGAAGGAACAAATGACACTTGGACATGGCCAAGATGTCCAAAAGAACTTCGCTGTTCGTTCTATGGTGGTCTGCCAGCTCGTGCGGCGGCCATTTGTTCTTCTTCCCTCCCGAGCTTCGAACAACATATCGGCCCTGGGAACGAATCATTGCTTGCAACCTGGTAGGAATTTCTTCACCATTTGTCATGAGTTCCATAACACGGTGCGAGTCTGTTGCCATAAAGATTGCTTTTCCGCCCGCGCGCTGAAAGGCATCCATGTAGGGTTGAAACTCCTTTGCTTTCACAAGCTTTCGATGGCGACCCCCCTTTAGACTGTTTCGAAAATGAACAGCCAAACATGGAACAACTGTGTTGTTGACGTCCTTTGTTGGATTGACATGGTTGGAGCGTCGTTCCAGATGTGGAAGAAACTGAAAGTACTTTTGAACCAACTTATGCCCCTTATGCCGCATGGATTCATGCCATTCGTTAAGCTTGAGGTGAGAAGGCTTCCAAAGGTGAGCAGGTACGCCATCATATCTCCAAGAGCGCACACACCACGGGCACCAAACATCCAGTCCTGGCGAAATCATCGAAGGCTCCATGGTGAGTAGGGGAACTTTGCGACAGGACTGGTCCCCAGGTCTCATATCCTTCGAGACCGGCTGAAAGTAACTGTTCCAAACTCCATTTCCAGTCACCTCCAACGTCTGTATTGACACTTCTCCTCCCTCGACTGGTATACCCGGGTAGATTGCAGACACGTTCATTTTGTCGTGCTCCGTAGATATAATATACCCGTCCAAAAACTCCAGAGCCAACCCAGGCCCTCCCCCATGGACTTGCTCGTCGTAAATCACAGCGGAATCTCGCCCCAGATGAATCCATGGCTTGAGATTCTGCATCTCGGCGTACAATAGTTGATTTAGAATGGAATTGAAAAAGGCCATTCCTGTGGTGTCTTTCGGCCCTACCCTTGAAATGAGCAGAACACCCTTGTAGCCATCACAAGCCTGGTGAGTGGGCTCCCCTTGAGAAAGTGTTGGCGGGGTAGGGTGATTCCACCAGTGATGTTGCTTTTGTCGTGTAGGCCAATGGCCGCGGGGTTCTCCTCGAAGCACCATTTGCACCAGTGTCGAAAATACAACGGGAGAGACAGCCTCGGGATCTTCCAAGTTCACAGAGGTGTCATGTAAGTCCACGTTTATCCAAATGCTCGATTCAGTCACGGCACTGAGACCGTGCACCATGAATTGGCAATTTGCCAAGGCGACAATCTCGATCAAAATCTCTCGGTTGGTGCGGTCATGAGAAGAATCGCCAATGTCAAACACAGCTTGTTCGTCGCTCGATCGAATGACATTGTCGCCTATTGTTCGTATTCTTTCCCGTACATAGGCAGGCCACTGCGTGTTTACCTCGTTCAATACTTTGGTGGAGTCCGTTGCCAAGTACATAAAATTACCACCAGCCTTGATGAAGGCTATAGCATAGGGCAGAAACTCGTCAGTTTGAATCTGCCTTCGACCTGCAGCCTTGTCAGATTGTCGAACATGGAGGCCCAAACAAGGATTCGATAAGGAACACCACGGATTTGCTTGTTGAGCAGCTTGTAGAATATCAGGACGAAAGTGGATGTACTTTTGCACCACATTGTTGGCAATTATCCTTTGGGGTTCTAGCCACTCGTGCAGCGGGATATGAGGCAGTGTCATGTAGTCAGGAGCATAACTGTATCGCCAGCACCGAGGTGCCCATTCTGCAAAGCCATGGATCCCGGGGGTGATCAAGAACAGATCCATTTGTACCACAGGCTTGTCCTCACAGGACTTATCACCTGGAATGAAATCCGAGATTGGTTCAAAATAGTGCTGCCAGACTCCTGTACCTTCCAGGCGAAATTCTTTTTGTACATAGGGACCCACCTTCACAGGAGGTCCTGGAATTCGATCACGCCAAATGCCATTGGGTCGAAGAATGTGAGAGGCATTCATACCATCCATGGCCCTAAAGCTCACCCCAGGACCGGCGCCATGAACAACAGGATCGTAAATGACATAAGATATATTGTTGATATATACCCAAGGCTTGAGATTGTTTCTTTCGGCATAAAGAATTTGACCAATGACAAATTGGAAAAAGATCGTTCCGGCAGCTCCTCCAATATCTCCCTGGGAGATCAGCAAGATTCCATTGTATCCATCGCAAGCTTGATGTGTGGGACGAATCCCATTCACGACATTCAAGGAGCGATAAGTATCCTGATTCACTTGAAGCACTGTTGGGTCATCATGTTTGTCATTCAAAGGATCATGCTCCGGCACTGACGGTATCGTCCATGCGGCAGTGTGACGGATTCTTTCTTCCCTCTCAATGGAATACTCAGCTTGCCCCGCCAGCAAGTTGACCGCCACGAAAACCAAAACACATATTCCCACGCAATAGAAAAAACTCGAACTCGAGCAGCAGCAACGGCAACAGCACCGGTAACAACCGCTACAGCGCCGCTTTCGGTGCAGTGTAGGACGAGGGGTATCCTCCAAATTCATCTCATCTTTCTTATGACAGTAGCTGTTTGATGTATCTTTCTCTCTCGAGACCTTCTTGCTTGGATGGCTCGGCTGAGCTAGCGAGGTGACGGCTGAGGTTTCTAAAGGGGTGCCGTTTCTCGGTCTTGGTCAGGAAGTCCCCCGATTAATGAGATAACGACTTTCCTGTGAAAGTCGCGAAAGTCGCGCGACTTTCGCGACTTTCGCGACTTTGGAAAGTCGCGCGACTTTGGAACGACTTTCACCGCGACTTTCACGACTTTCGCGACTTTTCGCGACTTCGCTAGCATTTTACTAGTGATTAAAATCGCGACTTTCAACGACTTGTACCGCGACTTTCGCGTTTTTCGCAAAGTCGCGCGACTTGACGCGACTTTGGACGCAATTTTAACGATTTTCGCGACTTTAACGACTTTCGCGACTTTCCACGATCGCCAATCGGGGGACTTCCAGGCAGCAACGATCAAAGGGGTCAGTCGTGATTGATTCGTGACTCTCGTGGTTTCCACGCCACGGTTGTTGTGGACCGGCTTACCGCCGGTTTCACCTCCTGTACCGTACAGTACTAGTACCTAGATGATATGAACTGGCAGTGGCCAGCCAAAGTGGCCACAGCTAGCTAGAGCGTACTACTGTACAGTAGGAATACTGGTAGCGGCCCAGTCTCAAAGGGAAATCTGGTATTATCGGTAGCCACCAGCGATTAGTGTCGAAGCAACTTGTATAAAAATTGACTTTTACATGCAGTGGTTAGTGAAAGTCTATCAATCATTGTGACTGTAGCTATTATCCTTTGAATCAGTGCAGGACGAGACCGAGACCGCTTCAATCGATGCGCACATGGAGCAACCGCAACTTGCTCATTCGTCAAATGCTTTTATCCATTCCACCACTGAAAATGATTCATTGCAGAGGTTGGTCATCCTTGCCTCTGCTGCAGTCTGGTTGGTTCGGAAGGGAAGTGGTTCCAGATCTGCCCAAGAGAAGGACTCGTCATCGCTGTTTAGTACTACACTCTGATCAGGCCAACAAGGGGAATAAGAAGCAGGCCCTTGCCAGTCGCTTAGCGCCTTCATGTACTGTTTCTGTACCGGTACATGGGGAGTGTGGAAGTTACCAGGGGACATTTGCTTGGGCACCGCATGAGCATTGGAGGAAAATGCACGGCTGGGGGTCGCTCCGTTGGCTTGAGACGACCAGATGAGATCCTTCAAGCACACTTGGGACTCCACCCTACCAGAGCTTTGCTGTTGTGGGGAGTAGGAAGCCTCGCAAGGTGGAGCAGTAGCCGACGCCATGTCATTGAGAGAACAACTCGATTGTCTCGCTGCCATGTATGTTTGCGAGAGAACTGGAAATTCTGACCGGCTCTTTCCTCTCTTCTTGTTCTTCTGAATGGTTTTGACCAGGTCTGGTCTACCACGGACAAACATCTCGTGGTGAATGACTGCATTGTAAGAGGAGCGGAGGGAAAGGATTAGGTGAGATACAGCATCGACAACTTTTTTGTGTAAAAGCACATAACAAGAACACTTACAGCCCTGCTCCTCGCCTTCTTCGTTGATTTTCTTAAAGCCGAAAGAGTTCACCAGACGAACCCAACTGGAATGTTTGATGCGAGGGAACCAGGCTGGAAGCACAATCGAAATGAATCGTTTCTTATCGTGGACCTTGAAGGCGGTTCCATTCCTCTCCCAGCTCACAATCGACTGCATATCCCCCTTGGTTGGATCTGTGTTGCTGACATTCTCAATATCTTCCAGCATACGATAAAGGAGAACGGGAAACGCAGCGGTTGTATCTGGTTTGGATACCATGGAGCTGATGGTTTGGTGGTTCATTCTGAAAGGTAGATAGATGTGGATTAAAAACCTAGTAGCGACTTGGTTATGAAGTACCTGTAAGTGTTTTGGATCCTGGCTTCTCAGATGTTGAGGCAAGAATTTTATGAGGATGGCGGTGGGTCGGGGGTAATGTACCGGTAGGAGCTACTAGCTAGTATGTAAGACAACAGGTAGGTGAGTGACAGGGCGACAGCGGCAGAGTGGCAGCCAAGCAGAAGAGAACTACGTGAGTTGCTACATACATGTACATGTACAACATGTACCAGAGAGACTGAGTCGAGAGATCTCCTTTGGAAGAAACTTCGTTCTTCGTTTCAGCCAAACCGCTGCGCCAGTGAAGAAGGCAGACTGGAGAAGCTCTGTAGACTGCACTGTAGACTGTACCGTACTGTAGACTACGAAGTACTGAGTGCACTGAACATTGTAAATAGGCTTCCCGTAGAGCCCACGGGAGCCTCAGATCAATGCGGAAAGGGCCTAAATCATTGAGCTATCAGGTGCCAGATCTGCTCTGTCTCAAATGTCTCAGTATTTAGTCCAGTCACTTTTTGATATCGTAATCGTAATTTACAGTCGTATGGCACCTCTTGAGCGAGCTGCGTACCATCGTACAGTACTAGGTACTATTAATAGTAGGACCTGGCACTTAGTTAGCACTTAGTTCTACACTAAACATAGAGGGCCCTGCAGGATTGAGTACAGTTGGAACGTCGGAACATTCGAACATTCGAAGTGGTGTCCATGAGCTATTTTTCTCTACTCAAAATAATGGAGTTCAATGTCCAATGGACACCAACAGAAGACGCTGTAAACGCTGGTACTGGAGTACTGAGTAGATGTAGCTCGATGTTCTACTTCGGTCCCAGCGTCCCAGGTCCTCGCAGCTGCAGCAGCCGATTGCGGCATGCCTACACGGGCAATGTGTCCAGCTGTACCGCCTAGGCACCTCACCTTTAGGTCTTTCGTTCTCTGGGTAGACCATTATCTTATGGCTTGCAGCTGAGTCAAAAGATAGTAGAATAGATCTGTACCTTAGACAAATTCTTGCTTGAAGAAACCACAGATGCCCCATTTGATACGATTGATTTCAGGGTCTAATGTTCAGGTTTTAAGATTTCATCCCCGCCATCGAAAAGCTACTTTAAAACCAAGTCGTCACTGAGTATTTATAATGTCCGCGATTTGCAGAAATGCCTGCAGTTACTTAGCGGGCCCTATACACCCCAAGTATGTGCACTTTAAGTCTTCCATCCTTCTCTAGCTACATCATGATTTTTTGCCGGATTGTTAGCTTTCTGTGATATAATGCCGAAGCCTTTTCGCAGCACAAATACTGCATCTTTTCCTGCAAAATTGACTCAAAGAGATAAGGCATTCTCTGCAATCTGCAATGGCAATGACTATTGATCCGCAACAAATGCTGGGAAGTTGAAGTATTGTACGTCACCGTGTCAATCCTATTCTGCCAGCTTAAAGATTTGAATCTCCCGCCACTGCCGTCAGGCACTGCATGCTGTGGACCACTGCCATAATCCTGGAGCTCAGATTTCGAGCTTCACTGACCCAAGCAGCAGAACTATGATGACTATGATGAACAGTTTGGCTGCCGGTATTGGTGATTTTGGCATTCCTCGTTTCTCTAGGAATGGCAAGCTTTTGGCTCCTTGTGGTGGTGGATGTGGAATTTTGTGTGATAATACCCACAAATGCCCTGATTGCAATGCGCACATGCATCCTTTTTGCGGATTTGATGTTGGATTGGCTGAAGGTCATGGTCAAGCCAGACTGTGTAATAGTTGCCAACTGAAAAGAACGACACCACCACCGCCGCCGCCGCCACCACCACCACCACCACCACCACCACCACCACCACCACCACCGACTAATAACGGTAGGAGAACGGTTGCAACTGAATCCAATTTGCCTGAGTTGGCCGAAGCTCCGGCAGAGCAAGTTATTCGGCCACATCCTCAGTACCAATCCGCTTTCATTGGCTTCATGGACTATACATTTAACAGGAAGTTCAACAAGAATGCCACCTTCAATCCCATTGAAATTAGAAATTCCATCAAGCCACACCATGTGGTTGACTATCTCCACAAGTTGACATATGACAAGCTGGATGTGAACTACAAAGTTGATAATCCTGGAAGACGGTCAAATGGTATTCTCCATATTAAAAGTGCCATCTCTCATTACATGCCGGATGACTTTCCTTGGAATGGACATTCCGGCAATCCTACACGATCCAAACCAGTCAACAAATTGATAGAAGCTATTAGACTAGCAGAAAGGGAAAAACGAGGGAAGAAATCTCAGGCAAGACGAGAACTCCACGAGGTTGAGTTTCGCAAAACAATTGAACTCTTACAATCAACATTCAGTTTCATCAAGAGCTGTTTGATTGTTTGCATGCTGGTGCTTCAATTACATATTGTAGCTAGGGGATCCGACGTGTCTCAGTTATTCATCAATCAGATTAAGTCACATTCGAAGCATGACTTTGCCTTGGAATTGACAGTGGAATGGTCCAAGAATGTGAAAGATGAGCGGGACTGTCCTCCTCAGATCCTACTAGGAGCCATGGATACTCAGTACTGCACTCACCTGGCTTTGGCAATTTATTTGGAAGAGGCAATTGCTCGTGGACGGGCATGTGCTGGTTTCGACAAAGCCTACCTTTTTACGGATGATTTCGATCCAGAACCACCAGCAGGGCAAACTTGGGAACCAGAGGAGCTCGAGAAGAACAAGAGGAATTCACCAACAAAGAAGCTTTGCAGTCGGTACCGGAATTGCCTTAAATCAATCTTTGAAAGTGAGGCCTTCCAAGCTATCTCCAGCACCATCGGAGGTTTGATTGGAAGTCACAGCATTCGAAAATATGCAGCTACTCTAGCCAAACGCTTTGGTGTTAGTTTGCGAGATGTTGATGGCCGTGGCCGCTGGAAAGGAGACACTGCTACAAAGCACAAGGTCGCAGCTGGCCACTATGTATCCCCTGACCAACCTTTTATTGATGCCAATGTTGCCAGAGTTCTTTGCCTCGATAATCCTGTGGCTTACCGTATCCATTCGCAGGCAACTCATATCACAGATGACTGGCTGAAGGAGTATGTCGTCCCAGAAATGCATCACTTTTTTGGGGGAGATGGAAATGCCAGCAACCCAGCTTTGATTCTTGCCCGGCCACTCCTCTGGGCGGCTATGTCTGACGAAATGGAGGGACGTATGGATGGGCAGCAGCGAGCTCAGATAAGGGCAGCATACAACGAAATACAGGAACTACCTGATGGAATGAATCCTGTGGTGAAGAATCGGCTGGAAGTTACCCGTCACAATGATGAGTGCTTGATTCGAGAATCCACCGGAATTAACAATACACAACAACCTCAACCACATCCAATGCAACAGCAACAACAGGCGGGTCCTCCATCACAATGGCTTCAAGACATGGTTATGAGAATCCATCAAAACCAACAAAATCACCAACAACAACTGAATCTGTTCCAACAAAATATGACTAGTCTGGTTCAGAATCAACGGCAGCACATGGACCGCCGTTTTGATAGGATTGACCGAAATCTTGCAACAATCCAGGCTCAGCCACCCCGAATGGCTTCTCCCGGAAGAAGAGCTCGAAACTTTGCCAATCTTGGATTGGTAGAAAGAAGAGACAACAATGGTAGACTTAGAAGGGAGCGTTTGACTACTGCAGTGGATGATCGCCCAGCGAGAATTACCAAAAATCTGAAAACAGTTGGCGCTATCTGGCAAGAGTGGTCTACAGGTATCAATGGCTGCAAGCCAGTCAAGGATTGGATTCCGGCAGAGCAATCGCTTCCTGGCAACAATACATACTACAGAAGAAAGGGGTTGTACTTGATGTTGAATGACCTAGTATCCAACCGGGTGACTGCAGGTGCAGCAATCGGTCTCATTGAAAAGCTCTACCCCAGGGCAAAAATTCTAGAAATATCCAAAGATCTCAAGAAGAGAAGAGACGAAAACAACCTCCAAAAAGAGCTGAAGAATGCCTTAGGAATTAGATAAACTACATGCTAGCTAGTCATGTCAGTATTTAGTTGTTTGTTACACAAGAAACTGCCTTGCCTTTGAATGCAGTGATAGCTAGCTAGCTAGCTAGCATGGTGGTAGCTACCAAACTCGGGAACTTAGACAAAAAAATGAGGGCTCGCACCTCTACTACTAGCTAGTACTGCTACTACTAGCTAGTACTGCTATTACTAGTAGTACCGTACTGGTATTCAGCTTAGAAAAAATGAGGGTTCCAACCTCCACCGGTTTTACCCTTACCCTTTACCAGTTACTGTGGTCGTGCTATTGGACGTGCTGTGGCTGTTTGCGTGCTATTGGACCTGCTATTGGACCCTCTGTTGCCGGTGACAAAGAACTCACAAAGATACCCTCTCCAGCATTCCGTAGAACCAGAAAGCATCTAATCCTGTGACTCCATGACTTTCCCTCTTTTTACATGCCCTTTTACCTTCCCTGTAGAGGCCAGTACATACTCTACGGTCTGCAGTTTTTTCTGTGGTCTATGGCTACATATTTATAATATTGCCAAGTAGACATTCTCGATGCTCTATTAAAAACTATTTTAATACATTAATACACTCGACAGCGACAGACAAAAAATGCAAGAGCAGGGATTAGAAGAGATTGGAACAGGTAAAAAAGGTACGTGTACTCTGAGTAGTTTGAGAAGAGGCCTTTTCCTCACCGACCTTCCCGAATGTCTGAAACTATTTGACCGTAAAAGTGTCAGACAATGCGAAAATACGGCAGTGTGCGTGGTTGAAGATTGTTGATTTGAATCTTCGGTGTCAAAAAGTGTACTGTACACTACTGTACTATCAGCTTAGTACAACGAGCTAGACTATCTACAGACGTACTTGTAGATAGATAGCGATACCGGAACTGAGTACGTCATGTACCCGCAGGCGTGGAAGCGGATAGGAGAGACACGTCATCCAAAACTGCCTAGTATCAGCACTGTTTGTAGCTGCCAGTTCAGCTGGTTCCGTACCACGTACATGTAATAGCTACACTGGACCGTCCAACGCTTTTCACTCAGGCTTTAAAAACGGGCACGACTGACTCAAGATCCTGGTTCTCATAAGGGGTTGTTTAAGGGGATGTTGAAGCTTTAAGGGGTTGTTTAAGGGGATGTTGAATATTTAAGGGGTTGTTGTTAAGGGGTTGTTTATTTAAGGGGATGTTCATTCGTGATAAGGGGTTGTTGTATGGCGTTTCAATGAAGGCTTAAGGGGTTGTTTCGAGGATATAAGGGGATGTTGTTAAGGGGTTGTTTATTTAAGGGGTTGTTTAAGGGGATGTCAAAGCTTTAAGGGGTTGTTTAAGGGGTTGTTTAAGGGGTTGTTTAAAAGATGTTGTCAGTCGTGGCAATTTGAAGATTTTTAAATCCTGAGTGAAAAGCGTCGGACGGTCCTGTACCCTCGGAGAGTACCAGCTAGAACTCGAGTATGGTATGTCTTTGATTGTTTTGGGCCAAGAGCTCCTGCTTTTGTTGGACGCAATGAGAGACCCTGAAACGCACGCGATGTTACACATATAACTCGTATCACTCGTATAACTTGTATCACTCGTATAACAGGTCTAACACATCTTACGTGTAGAATACGTATAACATGTATAACACGTATAACACGCACGCCAGCCAGCCACCGTGACCGTTCGAGTTGGCTTCGCAAAATGACTTGACTTCAACTCCTCCAATCTCCACCACAAAGAACCACCATGACAACAACCTCTCTTCTCTTGTTTGTTTGAAGGATACACAGGTTTCTCTTGTTATTTGAAGATAGCACCATCATTGTGGGTAAGTAGGCAATGTGGTATGGCTTTGTTGAAGCCAAGAAGACTGTTCCTGTGGAAAGATAGAATGATTTCTCTTCATTCAACTCATTCTCCATTTTTCTGCCTCCACTCTCTTCCTCAGGCCCTGTACAGCCTTCAGGACTATTCTCTTTGCATTCATATACTTCTGAAGGCTCACTGACAAAGCCTGTGGAAGATCTGGCCTTGAATTCTACCATTGTCAACCACTTTCTGTAGGGACCAGTACTGAACCCATGTAAGTACCTCAGTGCTCAGCGCGCAACACATACCTCAGCGCGCAACACGTGTTATGCATGTTACGCGTGTAACACGTGTTATGGTGTAACACGTGTTATGGTGTAACATGTGTTATGCAAGTGCAAGCAAAATCATTCCGGAACCTGTAATGGATAGAGCCTCTCTTACTTTGTTCGCAAAGGATTCAGCACTGTCGGATTCATCTGTCAGTGCTTCAGGATCAATGTTCTGAGGTGTGGCTCCCCTATGTGATTGTCTGATTCGAAGAAGGCCGGAGTCAAATGAGGCAAAAAGAACAACGAACGATTTTGTTGGATCGGATTGCAATCTGGCAAGTAGCCTATCTGCTGCTGTCGCCTCCTGATGTGATACTTGAGAGAACATTGAAAGAGAATGGACATTTGACACCCTCCCCCTCAACAGGAAGCTGAGTCTGGGTGGTTTTGTTGCTCTCCTTTTGGGACCTTTGTTTGTAAAAACGACTCCTTGGACAACATATGGTAATGTGATTCCGCCTCTTATCGAATCCCTTGTTTTTGATACGGAATCCAGCAGTCTTGCAAGAAAGTACAAAGTATGGCATCAAAACTTCTTTAATATGCGCCGAATCACAAGATTGATACATCGAAGGTAGCCAATACACCGTCGATTTCTCCATTCGATAATTATCGAACCCCAGAGTATCCATAATGTTTATCTCCTTTGGTGTATCATCAGTTAGTGAGGTTGCTACATTCACAATGATTGAAGCAGGAGTCAATTCTTCATCATTGATATTGTATCTAGCAACATGGGAGAGTTCAGATAGGTAAGAGTCCATTTTACTTGATAAGCTGTCAGGTATTATGGCCTGCAACAGTGCATCTTCCTCTGTGCCTCCCAAACACCTGGCAAAACACCTGGCAAAAAAACTTAGCAAAAATTCGTCACCATGTATTATACGTAAAACACGTACAACACATAATACGTATAATACGTATAATATTGTTCCACTTGTGTTATCTGTGTTGTACGTATGACTTGTCTAATACATATTAAAAATGTTATATGTGTAATACGTATGCTCTGTAGAATACATAGTGAAAATGTTATACGTATAATACAACCGCGTGCGTTTCAGGGGCTCTCACCACGTACTAGTAGTGTATCAGGCGTGGGTGGCTGACTCCACCGTGCCGCTAACTGGTACGGTACTGCAAGTGTTCTTGGATTGGTTGGAAAGTTTTTTTTTTCAGTAGCTTGTTGACAACAAAAGGGCTCCCATGGCTGAGCGATCTCTGAGGCCTGAGTTGTGGGTCCTCCAACGTACCCGCACTAGTACTGGTAGTACTCTTTGATTGGTTGGGGATGTTAGTTTCAATGCCGACACAGTACCGGTACCTTGAATGTACGCACTAGAAGTATTTTCAAGATGATGAAGCAAGCATCCTTCTTTTTGCTTTGATGTGAAAGGATTTCGTTGACCAATTCGCATGGAGTGCTAGTCTACCCGGACCACCCGACGGTTTTCGCTCAGGCTATAGAAACTGCCACGACTGGTTCGGGCATGTTTTTTAAAAGGTCATGTTTATTAAGGGCATGTTTAAAGGCATGTTGCCGATTTAAGGGCATGTTTTAAGGGCATGTTTATTTAAGGGAATGTTCATTCGTGATAAGGGCATGTTCTATGGTGTTAAAATGAAGGTTTAAGGGCATGTTTTGAGGCATTAGGTGAATGCTTTAAAGGCATGATTATTTAAGGGAATGTTTAAAGGCATGTTCAAGATTTAAGGGAATTTTTAAGGTCATGTTTTAAACCGTCCTCAGTCGTGGGAATTGCAATTTTTTCTAAATCCTGATTGAAAACCGTCGGACGGTCCAGGTCTTTAGAAGAGTTGGCTGAGCACTAAGCTGACACTAACGTAGCGGTACTATTAATAGTTGATAGTACGAGTAGATGTACCGGTAGCGTACCGTAAAAGTATATCCCAGAACTGAGAGAAATACTGAGAGCCTGTACCTGTAGTAGTGGATCCTACAGGACGTATTGATGAGGTATTCAACACCTGGTGAATGCTGGGTACGATCGTTCCTTCATACCAGTGAGGAGCGAGCGAAAGGTCACCGCCTCGGTCGTAAGATAAATGAGGTTCGCACCTCTACTACTCACTGTTAAGATAACGTCGTTCGCACCTCTATTATTATCTCGCACCTCTGTTATCTCGCTACCAGTGCTAGAGAGAGTACGTTCGAAAAGCACAAGTCCACGAAATCGCTACCGACGTTCGAAAAGCACAAGTCCACAAGTCCACGAAAACGACACAAGCCACAAGTACTCATGTAATATACTCACTATTAGGCATGGATATCATGCTTATCAAACTAAGGTCAACTTTACTGAGCACGAACAATACAAAGATCCTCATGCAGACTGTTCATAATGGTGTCCTGCTTGATGGCAGCAGCAATATTCAAAATAGTTCCTTTGTAATGCTCCTCAATCTTGGTGATGACCCAAGCTGGAGCTTTCTGAGCATTGACAAGTGTAGCCATGAGAGTCCAGAGTGGCTTCCTCCTGGAGTAGGTTGACTTGCAAGCCCTGATATCTTCAGCAGTGAAGTTCTTGGCTGCCTTGTTGCCACCAATATCATGCATCCACTCTTCCCAAGGAGAGCCAACAGTTCTGTACTTGGCTAGCTTGGCAGGCCTACTATCAGCAGGGGTGGCCACAGCTCGTCTGTGCCTGAGGCTAGTCTGGCCATTCCGGCGAGTCCTTTCCACAGTCAACCCATTTCTAAAAAGATTACCATCTACCTGATCAGGTGTTGCCATCCTTGGAGGCTGAACAGCAATCCTAAAAAGCATACAAAAATACAGAGTTAGCAGCAGTAATAGCCATAGTTGCAATAGCCAACAGCCACAAGTCTACACTTACCTGCAAATGTTGCCATTCAGTTTCGTCAGCTCCGCGCCAAGCCAAGTCTCCAACCAACATCTCAAAGCAGCAGCCGAACTGTCGCGGGTCCTACCTTCTTGCGCTATGAGCTGCTGGAGCTGGTTGTGCTGCGCAATAATCCTTGTCAGAATCTCCTCGTTCGTTCGTACCTGCTGTTGCGTTTGCATAGCCGTCACCTGCCGCGATCATTGGCAACTTGACGAGTGCTTGCCTGGCCGGTCGTTCCCGTAGTGCCACCAGTCGTGCCACCGCCACCTCCAGTATCCATCGGCTCAATTTCGTTGATGTGGAGCTTGGTGTTGTGCGTCCAAATCGAGAGAGGCACTTTCACCACAGGGTTGACGCCCACAGGAAGATCGGCCTTGATGCGCTCGTACGCATCTTGGATCCTAACACGAATGGAAGGCTCCATCCTCTCCTCCCAAGATTCGTCAAGGGCAGCCGACAAAAGAGGCAAAGCCAAGTGCAGGGAAATGTCGTTGACACCGTCACTCTCTTGGCATCCGGGTGTAGCTTGTACGCAATAGGAGCCCCCATGCAAAGCTTTTCGGCAACACGGGCGTCGATCCAGGGCTGGTCAGGTGAAATGTAGGCATGAACAACCCGTCCAGATAAACGAGCCTTCCAGCGACCTCGAATGTCAACTTCGTCAGCAGTAGCACCCATCCCTCTTGCCAGAGTTGCAGCAAACTTCCGAATGCTGTGACTCCCAAGAACACCGGCAATGAGGACCGCCACAGCCAGAAATGGAGTCGACAGAAAGCAGCCTTGAGAATGTTGCGGTAGGCTGCGTTGCAGTGCTTGGGAGCCAACTTGGGATCGCTTTTGGGAGTAAAGAGGAATGCATTTTCCCGACCAGCGGCGCCATACCCATAGTTGAAGGACGCCTCCATGTAATTCGCCAATCCGAGCATAGCACAAAAGTCGGTATCCATCGACCCAAGAATGATTTGGTCGGGGCATTGTCGTTCTTCCGATATATTCTTGGACCAATGCACCTTGCAACTGAGCGCAAAACGGAAGTCTGGATGCGGCTTGTAGTCGGAATACTTCAACTTGGAGATGTCATCCGTCCTGGTGATGAGATGGACTTGCTGCTTCAACATGCAGGCTGTACGGATGGTTAATTCAAAGCTCCCGTTGCCATAGAGTTCATGGACCACCTTGCGATACTCTGTTTCCGTCAAATCCCTGGTGGCACAGGACTTCTTGCCGCGGTGTTGAGTCTCCGCTTTCTTGACTTCCTTGACCACTTCGTTCACAGGATCAGACTTGGTTGGATTGCCGGAGGTTCCATTCCATGTGGCACCTTTGATGGGCATGTAGAATGAGATAGCCTCCTTGTCTTGCTCAAGAGTAGAGGAGCGGCAAGTTGGATTCTGCTCGAGATCTTTGTAGTCAATGTCCGTCGTACCATACGCACGCCATTTCAAGTAGTCGGCAACGTGGTGTGGTTGGATGCCGCCCAAAGCACTGGGTTGGAAGCGAGCCGCCTTGGTGTACGTCCTCTTGTGCAGCCAGCTCATGAATTTGATGAAGAGGTTATGGTAGTCACTGTTGGAGGAAACATACCTGACACCTCTTTCCTATTGACTCGTGTATTAATCATCTAGTCCGGTTCGCATGTAAATTCATCATGCAAGGAACCAAGGGAGTTTTAGGTCTAAAGTGCTACGGGGGTCCTTATATCCAATTCAATCACAAGAATTGCTATGCACCACCAGAAAATCCTCACTTTTGCTTTTCAGCTTAATCTAAAACCAAATTACTCCCCAATAAGCTGCAGTATTACTAGCAAACAACACTGAAAAGCAAAAGGCCATCTCGAGTTACTACTACCGATCTCGAGATCGATATCAAGGTAAACATCAAGTTGAATTGACTTGAAGTGTATTGAGTTAACTACTGCAACAGAGCAGAGGTGCGCAGAATCAGGTCCTAGCTTCACTATAAAGGATACCAAACAGCTCTAACAGGAAAGAGGTGCGTGCGCGGGAAGATTCCCATCTTCATTCCCATTTCGACGTTACGGAAGATCAACTGTCAGTTTCGGCCGGAACTACAGCGATCCAAGCATACCACGTTGAAGAGAACAAGAAGACAAACAAGTTCCGTGCTGGAAGCAAGGAAATCCGGCTGTTATTGCGAGAGTTACAGTCGATTACGTCATCGTGTCATCGCGCGTGATTTTCATCCGTCTCATCATAACGAGCAGAACTCATCGAACGGCGATCAAGATAAGTCGCGACACAGGCATTGCAAGCGAGAGGTCCCATACATCAATCGATAGAGGACATCTAGCCGCAACTCTGAGTATCAGTGCAAGCTTCTAACTCCAAGAATTGAGTGAGATAGGTTGATTCGAGTGATACAGTGCTACTGTGAAGAGAAGCACAAAAATCACGAGGAAGCTCATAAGTATCA